GCTGAGGCAGGAGAATTGCCTGAACCCAGGAGGCAGAGATTGCGGTGAGCCAAGATCGCGCCATTGCACTCCAGCCTGGGTAACATGAGTGAAATTCCGTCTCAAAAAAAAAAAAAAGTTATATATGTATTAGTCAGCTCGGGTTACAATAATAAGAAACCACAGACCTTTAATAACAAAGGTGAGTTTCAGGCTAGGCATGGTGCCTCACACCTGTAATTCCAGCACTTTGGGGGCCAAGGTGGGCATACTGCCTGAGGCCAGGAGTTCGAGACCTGCCTAGCCAACATGGGGAAACCCCGTCTCTACTAAAAAACACAAAAATTAGCCAGGCGTGGTGGCATGCCCCTGTAATCCCAGTTACTCTGGAAGCTGAGGCATGAGAATGGCTTGAACCTGGGAAGTGGAGGTTGCATTGAGCTGAGATTGCACCACTGCACTCCAGCCTGGGTGACAGAGGAAGACTCTGTCTCAATCAATCAATCAATAACAAAGATGGCTTTCCTAATAAAACTCTATTTTCTCACACTTCTGGAGGCTAGAAGTCCTAGGCCAAGTGCTCAGCAGATCTGTAATCTGGTGAGAGCTATTTTCCTGACCAGTCACCTTTCCACTGTGTTCTCACGTGGCCTTTCTTCTGTGCACAAATGGACACAGAGTGAGTGTACTGTGGTGTCTCTCCCTTTTCTTATAGAGATACCAGTCCTAATGGATTAGGGCCCACCCTTATATCTCATTTAACCTTAATTACCTCATTAAAGGGACTATCTCCAAATATAGTCACATTAGGGTTTAGGGTTTCAACACATGAAACTGGAAGTAACATAATTCAGTCCATAACCATATGACTTAGCAATTCCACTCCTAGGTATACAGCCATGAGAATTGAAAATATACATTTACACAAAAACATATATATATATATGAATATTCACAATAGTATTATTTATAATAGCCAAAATGTAGAAACAGCCTAAGTCCAGCAACTGATGAATGGATAAGCAAAACTGTGATCTATCCATGCAATGGAATGTTACTCGGCCATAAAAAGGAATGAAGTACTGATACATACTACAACATGGGTGAACATTGAAACCATTACACTAAGTGAGAGAAGCCAGGCCTGAAAGCTCACTTATTGCATAATTCCATATATTGAGATGCCTAAAATAGGCAAATCCATAAAAACAGAAAGACTAGTTGTTACCAAGAGCTAGAGGAGGTAGATGGAATCTGAGTGACTAATAAGCTTCCTTTCAGGGTAATGAAATGTTTTAGAATTAGATAGTGCTTGCTGCACAACCATGTGAATATATGAAAAATCACTGAAATGTATGCTTCAAAAGGGTGAATTTTATGTTATATGAATTATACCTTTAAAAACCCATATTACTAATAATGTGATAATATCATGTATCAAATGTATTGGAAATGACAAAGCTATACTCAGAGGAAAACTCATAGCTTTAAAAAATTAAAATGAAAAATAACTGAGCACTGAACTTGCCTAGAAAAAGACTTCTGAGGTTGGGCGTGGTAGCTCACATCTGTAATCCCAGCACTTTGGGAGGCCAAGGCAGGTGAATTGCTTGAGTCAGGAGTTCAAGACCAGTTTGAGCAACATAGTGAGACCCCATCTCTACAAAAAATGCAACAGTAGCCAGGCATGGTGGTGCACATCTGTAATCCCAGCTACTCGGGAGGTTGAAGCAGGAGAATCGCTGGAACTCAGGAGGCAGAAGTTACAGTGAGCCAAGATCATGTCACTGCATTCCAGCCTGGGTGACAGAGAGTGAAACCCTGTCTCAAAAAAAAAAAAATTTTTTCAGGAAAGCAGGAGAGTGGTATTAATAAAGATATAATCATAAAATACAGCTGGGCATGGTGGCGTGCACCTGTAATCCCAGCTACTTGGGAGGCTGAGGCCACAGAATCACTAGAACCCGGGAGGCGGAGGTTGCAGTGAGCTGAGATGACACCACTGCACTCTAGCCTGGGCTAAGGAGTAAGACTCCATCTCAAAAAAAAAAGAAAAAAAAATCATAAAATAAGAGACAAAAGAGCAACAGAATTGATAGGTTCAAGAGCTGACTCTGTGTCATAACCAATAAAATAAACTTCTGGCAAGGATAATTAAGAAAAAAAGAGAGAGATCACAAGCATACAACAGGAAGAAAGAAAAAGTAAACTCCAGGTACTCAGGAAATGTATATACATTTCTAATAATAAATTAGAAAAAGAACACCAAAACATTTTCTAGGAAAGCACAAATTTATAAAACTGATCAAGAAGAAGTTACAGTAAAGATTAAAAATATCAGCCTTAGCTGGGGATGGTGGCTCATGCCTGTAATCCAGGCATTTTGAGAGGCTGAGGCAGGCAGATTACCTGAGGTCAGAAGTTTGAGACTAGCCTGACCAACATGGTGAAATCCTGTCTCTACTAAAAATATAAAAATTAGTCAGGCGTGGTGGCACGTGCTTGTAATCCCAGCTACTCGGGAGGTTGAGGCAGGAGAATCACTTGAACCTGGGAGGTGGAGGGGCAACAAGAACAAAACTCCATCTCAAAAAATAAATAAAAAAGAAAATTAAAATTAAAATTAAAATATCTGGCTGGGCATGGTAGCTCACACCTGTAATCCCAGCACTTTGGGAGGCAGAGGTGGGCAGATCACCTGAGATCAGGAGTTCAAGACCAGCCTGACCAACATGGAGAAATTCCATCTCTACTAAAAATACAAAATAGGCCAAGGGATTACAGGCATTCACGAATGCCTGTAATCCCAGCTTTTCGGGAGGCTGAGGCTAGAGAATCACTTGGACCCTGGAGGCAGAGATTGCAGTGAGTCAAGATTGTGCCATTGCACTCCAGCCTCAGCAACAAGAGCAAAACTCCATCTCAAAAACTAACTAAATAAATAAAATATCAAACTTTGTCCCAAAAAATGGCATAGATCCCAGAAAGTTTCCCAGGCAGTTTTTCATGCCTTCAAGGAATATATAAATTTGCTATTAAAATACCCCAGAGCAGAGAAAAAGAAGAAATTTTTCCTGATGCCTTTACTAAAGCCAGCATCACCGTAGTGCCAAAACTTGACAAAGAACACACTACAAAACACTAATCCCTCTTAGAAATGCAGATGGTTCCATGCCAAGATCTCTTTGTATAAAAAATTTTTAAAAAAGAAATGTAGATGGACAAAAACGTTAAAATATAAGCCAATGAACTCAGCAAAATATCAAAAGAATAATATACTCGTATCCAGTAGGGTATAATCCAGGAGTGCAGAGAGCTCAGACTGAAAAATCCATTGATAGCATTCATCATAGCGACAGGTCAAAGGGGGAAAAATGTGGTCATCTTGAAAATGCTTAAGAAGCATTTTATAAAATTAACATCCATTTCTGATTTTTAGAAAAAGTTCAGTAAAAAGCAGAAGTATTATATGGCCTAGGGGTTAAAGGCTCAGGGCTTTGAGGGCACACAGACCTGGGTTCCAAGACCAATCTGAGTTTCATTTAATTTTTTTTTTTTTGAGGTGGAGTCTCACTCTGTTACCCAGGCTGGGGTGCAGTGGCATGACCTTGGCTTACTGCAATTTCTACTTCTGGGGTTCAAGCGATTCTCCTGCCTCAGCTTCCCCAGTAGCTGGGATTGCAGGCTTGTGCCACCACACCTGGCTTTTTTTTTTTTTAACTACAGGTGGTGTTTCACCTTGTTGGCCAAGCTGAAACCCCAACAAACTCCTGATCTCAAATGATCTGCCTGCCTCGGCCTCCCAAAGTGCTGAGATTACAGGCGTGAGCCACTGCGCCCGGCACCATTTCAATGAATTAATGTAGAAAATCATATTGCACAGTGCCAAATACAGTGGCCCTCGATTAGTAGCTTAGTATTATTATGAAGAAAGTGGAAATAGAAGATTATTTCCTTAACACGCCTTTTAAATCCATCTGTGTCAAAACAGTTAAGATTGCTCATATAAAATCCCAGATAAAAGTATTACATATACTGTCATGGATTGCTAAATGATGGGAAGATGTTCTGAGAAATGGGTTGTTAGGCGATTTCATTGCTATAGAAACATCAGAGTATACTTACACAAACCTAGATGGTATAGCCTATCACACTTCTAGGCTATAACCTGTACAGCCTGGGTAACAGCCTGTGACTGTACTGAATACTGCAGGCAATTGCAACAGAAAGCATTATGTGACAGGAGTCTTTCAGCTCCATTATAATCTTATGGGACCACCATCATATATGCCATCCATTGTTGACCAAAATATCATATGGTGCATGACTGTATTAAAACAAAAGGGGTTTTCCAGCAATCCCATTACTGGGTATATACCCAAAGAACTATAAATCGTTCTACTATAAAGACACATGCACACATATGTTCACTGCAGCCCTGTGTACAATAGCGAAGTCCTGGAACCAACCCAAATGCCCATCAATGATAGACTGGACAAAGAAAATGTGGTACATATACACCATGGAATACTATGCAGCCATAAAAAACAATGAGCTTGTGTCCTTTGTAGGGACTTGGATGAATCTGGAAACCATCGTTCTCAGCAAACTGACCCAAGAACAGAAAACCAAACACCGCATGTTCTCACTCACAGGAGGGTGTTGAACAGTGAGAACACGTGGATTCAGGGAGAGGAGCATCACACGCTGGGGGCAGTTGGGGGGTAGGCGAGGGACGGTGGAGGGTGGGGAGGGATAACATGGGGAGAAATGCCGGATATAGAATACACCTAAAATAAAATTTTAAAAAAGAAAATATAAAATAAATTTTTATTTTTGTTTAAAAAAACAAAAACAAAAAATGAAAGGGGTTTTATGGGTAGATAATTACAAATATGAATACAGAGATAAAGATAGAAACATTTCTGGAAGTATATACTCTAAGATATTAATAGTGGTTTATGTCGGCATAATAAGATTATAGCTTTTTTCTTTTTCTATACTGAATTCTTAAAAATGTGATCCTTTGGTAGTTTGTGGGTGTGATGATTGGGAATTCACACTCATGTGTGAGATGTGTCACCCTTGAACCTTTTTACGACATTGGCACAATACCCGTCTAACATGAAAGATCGATCGAAAAGGAATTTTAAAAAATGTAAATGCAATGGCAAATGTTAAATCACAATAGAGACAGTAAAAAACAGCACTGTTCCAGAAACCCAGATGAGTTGGGAAACCTCCAAATGGCAGTGGAAATGGATTAAGAGCTCAAAATGATCAAGGAAGTCAAGTGACAAGGTTTGAGAATCAGAAAGTGAATGTACAACCTAAGGCTTAGATATATTTTAAATAAGATATATGTTTGAGCTATCAAGAGTTCTAGTCAAAGCAGTAGCTGAAGAAAACTTTTTTAAGAGACATGGTCCGGCTCTGTCGCCCAGGCTGGAGTGCAGTGGCACAATCATCGCTCACTGCAGCCTCAAACTCCTGGGCTCAGGCGATCCTCCTGCTTCAGCCTCCTGAGCAGCAGGGACTATAGGCACACACCACCATGTCTGGCTAATTTTTAAAAATTTTTGTAGCGACAGGGTCTCACTATGTTGCTCCTGGCCTCAGGCTCCCAAAATGCTACAGGCCTGTGCCACTGTGCCTGGCCTGAAGAAAACTTTTCCAGGAAAAAAAAAAATTGTGCAAATCAAAAGGTTTACTCAATCAAAAGAAATCCATATTGGTCAAATGATTATTTTTGGCTGGGCGCATGGTGGTTCATGCCTGTAATCCCAGCACTTTGGGAGGCTGAGGCAGGCAGATCACTTGAGGTCAGGAGTTCAACACCGGCCTGGCCAACATGGTGAAACCCCATCTCTGCCAAAAATACAAAAATTAGCTGGGTATGGCAGTGCCCACCTGTAATCACAGCTACTTGGGAGGCTGAGGTGGGAGAATCTCTTGAACCCTTAAGACAGAGGTTGCCATAAGCTGTGATCACACCACCACACTCCAGACTGGGTGACAAGAGCAAAACTCCATTTACAAAAAAAAGTTTATTTTCAACAAGTTAAGTAGGTTAAAGAATATTCTAACATCCGTGTGTATACATATATATGTCATAAGTCCCAGTTACGTAGAAAAGAATGAAAACAACCCTAGCCTCAGACTTCTCGGCAACAGAACTGCCAGAAGACAGAAGCGGAATCACAGAAGGCAGAGAAGCAGGGTCACAGACCGATCCTATCGCCTGGATTAGGAAGAGAGTCAGAAACCATACCACTAGTTTATCTTTCTTGCAAAGAATACAAGCATTACTTGAAGGTCCCCGCCAGTGGAGAAGCGAATCAAAAGAAACTGTCAGGAGTGAAGGTGTGGTGGAAAAAGGCTGCAGGTCTTCACTTTCATCTCATGTCCAGTCTCAGCGATGTGTTGGCTGGTGCGTTCCATTGCCCCTACAGCCTAACTCTACAAGCTTCCTTGCCATTTCCCGGGGACCAGGAAAGGTGTGGCCAGCGCAGCAAAGCCATGCAGAGGCCGAGGGATGGAGGCAAGGGACACACGACGGCACCCCGCTTCCCCAGACAGAGAGAAGGAAGTAAATTCGGCTTCCTACTGACTTTTTTAAAGGTAAGGTAAGAGATTAAGGGACTTTCCACCTCTTTTTCCCTGAGAAGTCAGCGGCAAGGCCAATTGCAGATCTGTGAGCGGGACAACGGCTTTGTGCAGGGCGCTCAGGAGAAAGGCGAGCACCCAGCGGCTTCCAGCAGACTCACAGAACCGCGCGCCTCCCCTCTGGCCGGGTAGCAAGGGGACGCCTGCATTCTCAGTCCCTCTTGCAGACTCGGGAGGGCGACTGACGCTGGGAAGTCCGGGGGTGACTTCGTGTCCCGGAGAGGCGCCGGGTGCGTGCACAGAGGGCTTCTCTGGGGCGAGTGGGCGGGGCTCCTGCTGGACCGACGGGGCGGCCCCGGGAGGGCGCGGGGGCCGCAGGCGCTGGGGCCTCGGGGAGGGGGACGCGGGCAGGGGGGCAGGCGGCCTTACCCCCGGGCCCGGTGGAGACGGTGACCTGCGCGTAGGTGGCTCCCGCGGCGGCCGCCGGACCCGAGACGCCGTTGAGCGCGGCCACGCGCACGGTGTAGCGCGCGCCGGGCCGCAGGTGCAGCAGCGTGGCGGCGCGCTCCCGCAGCCCGGCCTGGCGCGGCACGAAGGCCACGCGCGGCCCGCACGGCTCGCACGCGTTCGCCGGACCCTCGCGGCCGCAGCGCAGGCACAGCAGCGAGTAGGTGACGTCCGAGCGTCCGCCTGAGTCGGCCGGCGGCAGCCAGCGCAGCCTCAGCGCCAGCGGGGAGCGGCTCAGGCTGTACTGCAGGTCCCGCGGCGCCGACGGCGGCCCTGGGCGGCACAGGGGCAGGGCGGTCAGGGCAGGGCGTGGGAGCCCGCGAGGGGGGCAGGATGCACTGGGCGGGCGGGGGCTGGTCCACCTCCCAGTGAGGCGGGAGAAGCTGGAGCGCGAGGATCAATCGGGAAGGAGGGAGCGGGCGCTCATCAGGGGACAGGGTGGATGAGGGGGACAGAATAGATATGCAGGGACGGGGAATAGGGGCGTGGGGTCAGTCAGGGAGGAGGGCAGAAGGGACGGTCAGTGAAGGGACAGGGATGGTTGAGCGGAAACGGCGCCGTGGGAGCCAGTGGGCGTGGGAGATAGGACAGGGGAGAGGGGTCTGGGGGTGGGAGGGATGGGGGCGTGGGTTCAGTCGGGGAGGTTGGAACAGAGATGGTCAGTGAGGGGTCAAATACGGATGAGCCCCGGGCGAGAAGGAGCAGGAGCTGGTCCCTTCCCCAGGGAAGGGTCAGGGACCCAGGTGTGAGAGCCCTTGGGAGGTCGGCAGGTGAGAGCGGCAGGGCAGTTGGTGAGGATTTGGGAGGAGGTAAGTGAGGAGCCGAGGATGGGAGTGTGTGGACCCTGAACCGATGGTGCAAAGGTAGGGAGCCCCTCTTTCGGCTGGAGTGTAGGTAGCGTGCAGAGAGGGCGGCAAAGGGGCGCTTTCCTCAGTGACCCGCCAAGCATCCTAACCCCATCCTCCGACTGGACTCACGTAGTTGTCCTGGCTCTTCTCATCCAAGGCCTCGGCCCCCAGCACCCGTTCAGGCTCCGGTCCCCACACCCCGCCTTCCGGGGCGCTGGCCCCCGTACCCGCCCTCGTGCGCCCCAGTGCGAGCCCCCGCCCTCACCACCACCCGGATCAGGCCTTTCTTGTCCTCCCCCACCCCGCCACCCTCTGCAGTGCCGCCTACAGGGGAACTCACGGGTGCAGGAAGCCGAGGGCGGGTCGGTGGGCGAGCGCGCGTAGCTGTCCTGGCACACGCAGAAGGTGGAGGCGTTTTCCAGGGCCCGGCTGTGCTCTGGGCACGGTGAGCAGAGGGGCCGCCGCGGGGACACTTTGTAAAACCCTGGGGGACAGGCTGCAGGGCATGGCGGGTGAGAAGCCGGGGCTCCGCCACAGCTTCTCCCGGCTTTGCTGACTGGCCTGGTTAGGGCAGGGTTTATCTCCTCCAATTACGATAGGAAAACAGGGGACTCCAGTCAGCACTGCCCCGTGAAGTGACTCCTAAACAACCCATTACCGACCCTTAGTAAACGCTCAGTGTGTTCGGAAAACTTTGAAATATTTTACTTTCAGCCGGGCGCGGTAGCTCACGCCCTTAACCCCAACACTTTGGAAGGCCAAAGCCAGAGGATCACTAGAGTCCAGGAGCTGGAGACCAGTCTGGGCAACATGGTGAAACCCTGTCTGTATTTACTTTTTTAAAAATTATGTCTGTTAATTCGTATCCTTACAACCACCTGTGGGGTTATCCTCTTTTAATTTTTTATTTTATTTTTGTTTTTGAGAGAGTCTCGTTCTGTTGCCCAGGCTGGAGTGCAGTGGCCAGATCTCAGCTCACTGCAACCTCTACCTCCCAGATTTATGCGATTCTCCTGCCTCAGCCTCCCAGGTAGCTGGGATTATAAGCTTGCACCTCCATGCCAGGCTGATTTTTTTTTTTTTTTTGTATTTTTAATAGAGATGGAGTTTCACCATGCTGGCCAGACTGGTCTCGAACTCCTGGCCTCAAGTGATCCGCCCCGCCCCCCCCACCTCTGCCTCCCAAAGTGTTGAAATTACAGGCGTGAGCCACTGTGCTTGGCCCTTTATCCCCTTTTTAAAACGAGGGAGCTAAGGCTAGGAGAGGTGAAGTTGCCTACAGCTACTGCCCCACAGCCTGTGGGATTCCAACCCAGGCCCGCATCACACCACCCTCATGCCCACTGGAAGAAAATGAGCCAAACTCTGCAGTCCTGGTGTGAGAAAGAGAGGGGAGAGAACATGTCCCAAGGGCTTACCCAGGGACAGACCCATAAGCATGCATGCACACACACACACTCACACACCCTCCCACCGCCACCGTCATTCGAGTTAGTGCATCATAAATTCTCAACTGAAAGTAAAGCCAACCAGGTGCGGGGAGGGCGGGTGGAGAGAGAAGGGCCAGTAAAAGTTCCCTGGGCCATGAGTCAGACCTGGTTCCAGTTTTGACACCTACTCAGTTTGCTTCTCACTTCTCAGAACACAGGTTGTTAAGAGCACAAGTGTTTCTATCTGAACAACCTGGGTTTGTAGCTGAGTCACACCACGTATTTGCTGTGTAGCCTTGGGCACATCAGTTGACCTCTCTGAGACTTGTGTTGAATACCTACCTCAAAAAAGGTTGTTGGAGGATTGAGATAAAACATGTAAACCACCTAGCCCAACACCAGCCACATGTTCACAATAATGGTAGTAATTACTGTTCCTCCCCTACAAGCCTCAAGTGATAACTGCTAAACACCCACTTCAAAACATTTCTCTCCCGCTGGGCCAAGGAGGGAGGCAGTGGCTCCTGGCCCCACGTCTCAGAGCTTGGGTGGCCCTCCCCTTGTTCTCTGGCCCTCCCCTCTAGTTTAGCTGGCTGCTCTCCAGCTCCAAGAAGATGCAGTACAACAGAAAGGGTGCAGACTAGCTCTTGGGGAAGAACTTTCAGCCTGTGTGGGAGAAGAGGGGAGGGGACTAGGATTCCCACTCTTTGGAAGGTTTAGGCTCGGGAGGGTCC